CCAATCACATTGGATATCTGTCTCTGGATTTTGTCGAGGACCTTAAGACAAACAGCGGGGGTTCCAGACCATATATGGCAGCAGTATTCCATGCAAAGTCGAATGGTTGATTTCTAGATTTGAAGGATGTACTCAGGCGAGAAAAACTTTCTGGCACGACACATAGAACTGATACAAAGAATAATATTGTAACAGAAAATAAAGTTATCCCTTTGTCTGATAAATATTAAATTAGAATATTGGGGTTCTCTAAACTTAGGAGATCAAAATATGAATATGTAAATTTTAAGGAATACTCTTCATATGAATTAATGTTGAAGTAAAATTATCAATAAGTAGAGGGGCCTCCTCAAATCCGCATAGCCAACGATTACTTTCTATGTATTGCAGAAGGAACTTACATTAAAAAAAAATTAAATCATTTTGTCTGTTTCAGTTATTGGAATATAGTAATTTCATATCCAAGATTGCAATATAGCAAGTTCAAACGATTGATATCGATAGAAAGACACGGGTGTAAAGTTTAATTTAAACGTAAAAAGACGAAGACAGACTAACAATTATATTGAAACGGATGGAGACAGAAATATATGAAACAAAAGTCATGTATACATTGCAATATCAAAAAATATCAAGGGTGACATAGCTCGCAGAATTTTGGCCACGCGCCGTAAGAAAAAGACTTTTGTGTAAATTAGTAAGTGAGTAAATGGCACCAATACACTAATTCATCGCAAAGGAGATATTTAAAAGAATTTTTTTTATCCTTTCGTCCCAAGTAAGGCGAACTAGTACGCTGGGGTATACGTGGAGTAAAAGTTAAAGAGAAGACTGAGAATGGGGAGGATTGAGGAAAGAACAAATGATGAGCGATATTGAAGAAGACAGAAGATGGTGATTGACGTTCCATTTAAATTTTTTAAGATTATAGTTATCAGAGAATAAAGCAAACAGAATTAATTTTCAATAGTGGGAAGTGCGTGTGATGAAACTGTTGCAGCACTATTAGCTGTTGCATTTAGCGATTTCAACACTAAAACAATGAGACCTAGTTGCCAATCTAGTAGCACGCTTAAATTCATGTGGTCGGGGTAACAGGGAAAAAAGCTTGTCAGAGCAGTTGCTATGAAAATAGTTTTAAAACAGACAGAAGGAAGCCACGTCACATCATTGAGAAAATGATGGAAGACGAGATGCCAGGTCAGGATTATTTATACTATAGATCCTTCTTTGGAAGTACAACAGGAACGCCATTCCAGATATGGCAACAGTGTTCAATGCACGGAAAAACGGAAGATTTCTAAAGCATATAATGAAGAAAGAGGATTTGGAAAATCTGATACTCACATGAAAAAACAATACATAACTTACAAAAGAAAGCTTGAGTAAACGGATGTCGAAAGAAAGATTAGTAAAGAAATATTTATTAAGAGCTACAAAAGCAGGAAATTGTGGAGAACCACGATCAGCAACGTCCTGAAGCGACACGGCACTTAGTAGAAGAAGAACGGTTAGGCAGGTATCAAGCTTTTATATTTTCTTTATTTTGGGATAAGAAAGATTTAGATTTAGTTTTTGATACTTTGCCACACGCTTCTTTAGATTTGTTCCCTGGTGATATGAGAATTTATTCTACTATTTATATTATAAATCGACATTGCTAATACGTCATATTTTTACAGGTCATGTGGTACGGCATCATGTATTTTATCGATCATACTATCCAACATATTATTAATTAGTTCAGCAGTATTATTCAATCGACGGATCAGGTGATCTGTGAAAAAGTTTCTCTATTTCTAACTTTTTTCATTGCGTAGAATTCTAAAACACATTTGAAAAATATAAACTGTAGAATATCTACAAAAACTCTTATCACACGCTAAGGAAGTTTGAAGAAAAGAATCAGAAACGAAATCCTGTACTTTGGGAAAAAAAAATGTCAGAGTTTATCTAACCATTACTCTGTCAATGTTACAGTTTAACAGAAGAAGCCACTGGCTGTGAAAAAAAAAATCCTGAACTTTGTTTTTGACAAGATTTACATTCCTTGAGGTACGTGAGAAAACAACAGAAAAATAAGTTTTATTTTAATTTAATTTTTTTTTTTAGAAAGCCAAAGTATAGACGCATCAACAATATTTGAGATTGACAGTGTAGCGTAGCAATATACGATGTTGCGCGTTAAATGATGTGGAAGTTTGAAAAGCTAAAATGCCGTATCAAACAAACCCATGAAAGAAATTGAGTCAATTTTGATCTTAATGAAAAAACCCAATGTTTGATCACCTCCAACTGGAATTCTCGGAAATCGATCTAAAAGGGATCGTTAATACGTTTTAGCGTGCATGTCTTCTTTTGAAAAAGTAATTTTACTATCAAATTCGGCGAGAAGAACGGCATTTTCTTCGGCATATTTTGCTTTCAACTAAAGGTTTGATATTGGAAATATGCTGCCCAAAGGTATAAAAGGGACATATTTCATCTTTCGCCAGCTGACGTCTAAAGAGATTAAATTTCATTTTGAAATATTTTACTACTGCTACTCCGTGGGAAATTAGATGTCATCTTCACAAAGTAAAAGGTTACCTTATTTCAAGACGAAGTTTTACAACTTATTCTGTCTTTCTTATCAAGGTACGAAATGTAAATTGTCCTGGACGGCCACTTTTCTATGGGAAAGGTAAACTCGAGTGAGTTACACCGTAGAATTTGTAAATGGCAGCAATATATCGAGACTAATTCTTCACCTCTTCGTCATCGAGTCCTGTTGGTACAGTTGGTATGACACTTGTGTCGTATCGTAATGGTTCGGCTTCAGTTTTAGGTGGTAGATGCGCACTGCTAACAAGTCCCAAATGTAGGATTGAACGGCATTCAAGTGCATTCTGCTGATTTTTTCTAGGCTCGATGAATTACTTGTGATATATATATATATATATATATATATATATATATATATATATATATATATGTGTGTGTGTGTGTGTGTGTGTGTGTCTGTGTGTGTGTAGGTGTGTGTGTGTGCATGTATGTATATATGTATGTATGTATTACTGAATGTTGAGAAAGAATAGCCTACAATTAGAACGTTCGTAACATTTAATTTAAAAGAGGGCTCACTACAGAATATAGCAAAATATTATTTAATTTAATATATTAAATCAAAAGCATGTCAACAATCTCTGCACAATTGCAGTCATGTTTCGGCGCATATCAATGCGACTCCTCGGGCGATTCTAAATATCTGGCGAGAAAACAAATAACTTAATTTCAAAAACCAAATAGGGCTTTACCTTGATCAACAGATCGAAAATGTCCTACGTTAAATTCAAACTAAACTATATATATATATATATATATAGCGAACATTGTCAGGAAGGGGACTTCTTGATGCCATCGGCCTGAAGAAGGCAACCTTAGAAAGTGCCTGAAAACTATGATAGATAGAACTCTTGGGAGCTGTCGGCGGCTGTTCTAGTACGAAGTCACATGTCATCGTAACCCTTCGTGCTGGGCTTGTTCAGACTATTGATCACGCTAAATAACATGCTCTCTCTCCCAGAAACAGTAACTATGGTCTGACCAGTATAGCTGCAGTAAGGGTGAGCAAACAAAAATGCTCATGAGAAAGCGTTTATAATAAGAATAAACTAACCGCTCAAGGAGACGGGTGGCAGTATATATATATATATATATATATATATATATATATATATATATATATATATATATATGTGTGTGTGTGTGTGTGTGTGTCGCTGATACGACGTTTAACAGGCAGTTCTTGATATGATCTTCTGTTAATGACTTCCCCGATGAAAACATTAACCCATTACCTGTCATGAGCCCCATTTGGGGATATGTTAAAATTAAACTCACTACATGTTATTCCTTGTATTTACATTGATTTGCTTACACACATTCCGTTTTCAGAGGTATATTTTTCAATATTATTAGCCGTAACAACACACTTTCTGTCGTGACTTTACTTTTCATGAGTAGAAAAATAATGACTATTTTGAAAAGTAGTTTTTTTTTATTTTTAATCAATGTTTTTTTTTGATTTTTTATACACATATATATTTGATGTTCTAGTTTCTATAAAAACGACAATGGTAACTAGTGAAATTAAACTTAAGGATTAAATAAACTTCTAAGACATCTGTCTGGGCCAAAAATGCGCATTCAAAAAATTTGGTAGTTAAAGGGTTAAAAACGGGCATATTTTTTGCATGGGATAGTTTGCAAAAAGTAACAACATTGTTTCTGGTTAACCACTTTCACCATTTTGTTGTAACAATACTCTATTTTTGTGAATTCATTTATGTGTAAACCGGTGTTTGCTTTCATCATGTCTCCTCCGTTTTTTTTTTTTTTTGGTTGGAAAACTGTAGTCTTTCTATTAGCCTTTTTTCGTGCTGGAAAGAAAGAAAATTATTTATTTGCCAATTTTAAAAGCCCTATGCGAATATTCAATTTTTCTCCTCATTCGGCAAATTCCAATGACAACCCGAGCAAAATCTTTCGCTATCTTCTCTTGCAAATTGCGACAGGCAAAGAAATAATTGGTTGGGCACCGATGACTTTACCTAAGCTAATTGCAAGAGCATCCATCAGCGTTGAGGGGAATAAGAAAACTTTTTTATCTTCTGCACTCTTCTACAACTACAAAAGTCTTCATCATTTTCTGAAACATTTTAATGATGTAGGACTTTCTCAAATTTTTCCTAACACACATATCCCACCCACCATTATGGATGAAATCAAGGAATATGATTTTCAGTGCGTGTCACTTAGAAACGGATATACAGAGAAAGGGAGGGCTATTTTTTTCTGTTTTCAAATTAGATTAAAATGTTTAAATAGAGGCAATGTCAGTGACATTTTCTTTGAATAAGTCAGGCATCCATAAAAAAAAGCATATACCGGAACAGATTCTGATAAACACAAAATGTTTCCTATTTTGAACGTGACACGCGGGTCACATTTTGTATTTTCTACAGGCCTGTTATAGATAGATAGATAGATAGATAGATAGATAGATAGATAGATAGATAGATAGATAGACCTGCAATGTTTAAATCGAAGGGGTAGATAGATAGATAGATAGATAGATAGATAGATAGATAGATAGATAGATAGATAGAAAAAAAGAAAGAAATACAATGTTTAAATCGAAGGCATAGATAGATAGATAGATAGATAGATAGATAGATAGATAGATAGATAGATAGATATGCAAAGGCTGGTATGGAAGCTATATAGATTTGATTATTGGTACCAATTTATGATAAATAAAGTTGAAAAACATAAAAATAAGCGATGGGAAAAATTCTGGTTCGAGTAAAAATGGATTCCATACATACTCTGATGTTTGGCCATATATTGAGAAAAGGAACTTGCTAAGAATATCCCCCAAACACTATTATATATGAAAATATGCGAGAGGCAAATACATAATAACTTTGTTAGCTATAAATTAACGCACTCGATAGATAAGATCTGATTAACAGATTCATAGGCAAATCAATGGAAATTGTTGCTTAAATGTATTCAAATATATGCAGAGGTTTCATAGATTACAATTGTTTCTCGTAAACTCTGTAGCAAAAACTGTTGGTACATGAGTGAAACGAACACACGGACACACAAATTGATTGTTGAGGAAAAGCAAAAGACCTTGAACTCAGTGTCGCAGATAGAACTACGTACTTAATTTAGAATTATAACAATTTAATTAAATATTCAATGACCCACATTTTGCTTACTGATATTTAAAGAAATACTTATGCCTTGCTTCTTTTCCTGTTTCTTATCTGCCTCTTCCTCCGTCTTTATACATATATATATATATATATATATATATATATATATATATATATATATATATATATATAACAAGTATATAACATATTTATGTTAGAATTTTTTAGTATAAATAATTGTATATATATATATATATATATATATATATATATATATATATATAACTAAGTATATAACATATTTATGTTAGAATCTTTTAAAATAAATAATTGTATATATATATATATATATATATATATATATATATATATATATATATATATGAAGAAGTAATAGATTTTTATTTATTAATCCGTCATATTCTGATCATTCAAGTGTTATTTTTAGTGGATACTCATATATGAGTAGACGCTCCGTTTATTTACAAACGGTAACGAAATAAAATGCTGTTTAAAATAAACATAACGCCTTCGTAAATATGGGTATCCAGTAAAAAAAAAAAATACATTTAAACGTCTAATACACACACGTACATACACACATATGCAGGGTCATGCTGATACAAACACACGCAGAGACATAGAGACACACAGACATACAAAAACACGTGCACATATTACATATATATATATATATACACCAAGAGAAAATTCTTCAAGTTAGGAAACTCCCATCTCACAATATCTATCTATCTATCTATCTATCTATCTATCTATCTATCTATCTATCTATCTCCCTCTCTCTCTCTCTCTCTCTCTCTCTCTCTCTCTCTCTATATATATATATATATATATATATATATATATATATATATATATATATATATATACACCGAGAGAGTATTCTTAAAGTCAGGAATCTCAGAATCTCTTAAAAACAACTTGAATGAGTCCGTTTGCCCAGCACAAGGGCTGACCAAACTTAATTCAATACTTTGTTCAATACTCTGGTGTGAAGCCGCATAGTTCATCTAGTGTCTAAGCGTTAACCTTCCAGGTCAACTCTCTGAGTCATCTGACTGTTCCAATACTCTGGTGTGACACCGATATCTCTTAGTATAAAGGCATTACATACTGGCGTAACCACAAATCAAATCCCATAACAAATGTTCTTTATTGACATTAATTTCCATTCAGACCTCTGGTATTTTTAGCCTAGATCTCTTACTAACATATCAGTACAACCCAGAGATTTTCCGAGTCAAACAATGAGTAAAACACTGGCATTTTCAATTCAAGATCAATCACCTCACGCAAGCAGACATATTCGATTTCATAGACATAAAGGACTTAAAAGATCGTGCCTATGCCAAATGACCACAAAATGAAAAATAATGACAGCTAATAATTGGAATCGTACCAGAACCTTTCTCGAGAGCTGAAAAAATCATGGGATATGAACGCTAATTGTAAATTTCGCTATGCTTGTTACCTTGCTGAGAAATATAAGACGAAAGATGAATTAGAAAATCGAGAATGTGTTGCGACTATCGGAGCACCATGTTGTTCCTAGGTGGAAAGTGAAATTTGAAAAAAAACATATACTGGCTTGTTTCAGGCTCAAAAATCTATCAAACGTTTAATGTGAAGTGGGAAGTGATTATAATAATAATTATGATAATAATTTGCTTAATGAAGAAATTTGGAAATCATCCCGTTGCTACTGGTGCTCTTGGCGCCATAACTACTGAATACCCAAAATGGTCCGTGACGACTGGGGGTCAATGTCAAGTGTGTACACATGCAGAAAAGTTGAATTCTTATCACCCCTGATATACTCCGAAGAAGTCTGAAAATATAATGAAAATTTGTTTCCTGTGAACATTGGTTGTGGACAACTGGTATTTTGGGTTCATCTCGATCTACAATATTGTCTTTCCAGATCAAATACTACTACTAATACAAATACTTCTATTAATAATACTCAGAACGAAATAAGCCCTTCATACTTGTTCTATTCAAGTCAACATCTACCAGTAACTGGATTATCCGAGGAGCTGGAAAATGTCATTTGCCCATGAAAGAAAAAGCGCATCACTATGACGGAGGCGTATTATCTGTATAAGATCATATGTAGCATGTGTGGATTTGACGTTCACTAGAAATAATACCGCCACAAGCCAGAAAAGATGATGGAAGAGGAACAAGTCAAAACCATGTAGAATTTCAATATCGAAACAAACCGTATTCTTGAGGCTTAAAGCCAAACATGACTGTCGTTGAAAAAATATAAAAAAATAAAAAAAAGACGAAAATGATTCTTCATCGACGTGATTGGTCCTGAAGATTATTTTATCTAAGTCAATGAAATTTTGAAGATTAAGGATTATATCGACGTCGAAAGTGAAATTAGCAGAATGTGGAACGTTCAGGCCACCATTGCACTTGTTGTATTTGAGGAGTTTAGTTTTATCACACCAAATTTAAAAGCCTAGATTGAGAAAATAGGAATAAAACCTATTATCATATCTCTTCAGAAGTCCGCGTTGCCTGCCGCTCTAAATATTCTGCGAAATGTAATATATGGCGAGCAATTTGATGGAAAACATTATTATAAATAATATAAAGTAATTCCAAGGTCTCCGCTTGTAAAAGAAAAAAGTGTTTGAATGAAGAATGTATAATGATATTATTATCATAAAAAAGAAGACAGTATAATATTGATATTATTATTATATAATAAGGATAAGAAGAAGAAGACAAAAAGAAGAAGATGAAAAGGAGAAGGAGTGTTGTGGATTCCGGGATGAAATCCGGTCTCAAATAAATGACAAACGCAGGAATGAAATATAGCAAATAAATGTATTGATGTAATAATACAATTGGTAATACGGTTAGTAGATCCAGAAATGTGGTTAGTAGCATAATAATATATATATAGTCAGGAAATTCAGTATCGAAGTATGACTTCCTTCTGAGTCTACGTGCTCGCAACTGTGACTCCTACAAAGCGGTTACCTCACACTCTCACTTCCTCACTCCATCACTCCCGGGTATTCACTGGCATCAGTACAAGTACACATTGGACGAGTCCACTTGTATGAAAAGGGGTGGAATTCTTAACAAGAAGTATATAGGAAAATGGGAAATAATTAAGCTTATAGATAAAACAACACCAAGTAAAATATTCAGAGAATATTGCAATAAGGTATGCGAAAGTGAACGGAGTTATAACAAAGAAATAAAATAGAGTAACAACGAGTAGAAGTACAAATGAAAAGAAATGGAAACATGTTGGCTCTAAAGTAGAAAAAGCTCTCGTAAAGAAAGCAAGGGACATGCATATCTCTGGGACGAGATAAAATACCTATTCTATGGGAAAAAGATTTTTTTTTTTAAATTTGATGCAGAAAATATTAATCAATACGTTCTCTGATGCCATGAAGTATCTATAAAAAAAACAACAAATAGCTACCCGAAGTTGTTATGTATTTATTCTTCATAACTGATAATACTGCTCTCCCACCAAATACTTATTTATCCATGTGTTTCAAAAGATTAAAATCAGTTTTAACTGAAAGAATACATTATTTTCTTATCAGAAATAAAATTTCATCTAAAGATAAAAAAAGAATTCAATAAAGGTTCTAATATTTGTCAAGATCACTTATTGCTCAACAGAATGTAACAGGGAAATTGGCATTTGTTAATCTTCCATATGAATGTAACATAAAGACCTCAATGAAACTTTATTCGCTTCTCATATTTTTGAAAGTCCAGAATGAAAATGTAGAAAAGTATTTTACATTTATGTCACTTAAATGAGGGAATGAAACAACTTGGAGATGAATAGAGTAATTTTTAATTCAAGGAGATTTAATTTTGTCTTCAATGTTCTACATTGCATTAATATTCCTTCGAAAATGAATAAATAACGCAACATGTGATTAACAGATACCTTATATCCACTAATTAATTTTCTACATGGACAACTTAACACTATTTTCGGGGCAACGAATTACCATATATACTCACGTATCGTGCGACTTTTGAGGACCTAATTTTAAGGAGGTCGCCTCATAGAGGAGATATAAAATTAGCGTATGTTCTGATGGCCCTTGTTACACTGATGACCAAACTATATATGCATTTACTATCGTCAAATTAGCTTCAAAATAAGGTCATCTAAGGTCGCATGACTCGCGAGTATGTACGGTCGTGATTTGCCTAGCAACAATAAAGGGATAATGATGATATCACCAAGCAGTTTCGTGTAGAAATATATACTAACCTTACTTTCAAAATATTGGTTATAAAAACTGATTAAAAAACTTGTGATTATCAAACTACATTAAGAAGCATATAAATCATTTGGCATAAATATAGGACAAAATGAAAGGCAATAAATAAAAAAAAAACAACATGTTTTCGACAAGTAAAATCAATAAAACTGAATTCAGTACAAACGATACATTTGAAGGGATTAACGCTCCAGCCTTACTTGTTGTTATAATTTCTGCCAGTGTGGTAAAGTGTAATG